TCCAAATTGTTCTCTGAGAAAAGGTGAATTATACACCACAAATAAATTTATGCAAATGAGGAGAATTATTCAGATTTGCACAATTAGCCAAATGTTGTCATTTGTTGCTATTATGCATGATTTAGAGTGCAATCCTAAGCAGAATTGTACTAATGTCAACAGGTCTAGAAGGGTGAACTCCTTGAGATTGCTTGGTTATTCAGGTTTTGCTAATCAGAGCACTGGATACTGAAGCCTCTACCCCTCTTGCTTCTGAGACTTCAGCAGGTATTACCTGTGCATTTTCAGTCATATCTTTGATATGAGGTCTAGAAACTTTGGGTTTTTTTAAATGAAAGCCAAGAGCCTTAAGAAGCTAGATTCTGTGTCTGCTATACATTCCGTGTTTCCCCCCAGTATTACCACTAAGTTCCCTAAACTCAATGAAAAAAGATATTTTTTTAATGGTGAAAGATTACAGAGCGCTATTTTTAACTTGTTTTACATGATGTAAAACAAACCCCTCTTTACTTGTCATTTACCACTAAAGAAATCTAAACCGTGAGATTCTGCAGCATTTCTTAGTGAAACTTCTAGCTATGGCTTTGAGTATCCAGGAAAAGAGATTTCATACTTCCTTTGTTTTTGTCGGTAGCTGTGTTCTCTCCCATCCCTTTAGTAAAAGGAATATAGAATCCTACAGTGACAAGAGCAATGACAATCTTGTGAAAACATGGAAAAATGGATTATTGATTCTGACCTTTCCACAGTCTTAGCAGTGGATGTTCTCTTGATAGTGGTAGCAAACACAGTATTAATGACAAAATAACAATGGACCATCTCCAAGGAAACATGTTTATGTGTTGGCGCTGCTGATATTGTCAAGGCAGTATTAGTGAGCTTTCAGGGTAGGGAAGGTAATGATGCCCATGCTGCTTGGGAACTGTATTCGGAATCAGCATTTTGAGTTCCACTGGCTTTCTAGTCACACCCTTAATCCGTGTAATGAATGATTTCTGCCTGGGGATGGTTACCTCCCTGCTGCCTCTGAACTTCCATGAAGGGTAGGTTTGTGAAAAGTGTTGCAATAGTTAAGCCTTGTTACATGTTTGAGTGACTGTTTGCAGTACACAGCACAGAGCATCAGCGCATATGACTTTTCTTGTTTGCCTGTCACTATTTTAGACAAATTTCTTCTAAAAATTCAGACACTAATTAAAAACTTGTGTCCTTAGGAGGGTTCATACTTGACTGATGGTGGCTTCATAATATCCTACATCCTAGCTAAGCTGGTACTTTATGAAAAATACAACCAAATCAGTTTTAGAATGGGAACAGAACTGTGGGGTTATAAAGAGCAAGCCTCTTAAAGCTGACCTGTGCCCCTGGAGCTTTTTGCAGACTCCTGAGTTGGGTATGTTGCACTGGTCTGAGTTCCTATGCTTGTGTGGCTCAAATCAAGGAACTTTCTGCAATATGAGATGGATGAATGAGAACTGTAAAACACTTTACATGCTGAAAGTGGTATGGATCTACTCCATATAATGCCTTTAAAAAACACAATAAAAGTGACTCTTAATCCCTTGACTTGTTCTAGATACAGAACATTTTTGCTCAACAAATAATTTCTCTTATGTAGAGAGGATCATTTTCTATTTGTATTTACAGCTTTGTGTTCAAAATGGATTTTTATTCAACACAGTTTCCTGTGTTGAAATATTATAGCAAGTTAGACCATTGACCATCCTTATACTAATAGCCAAGTTGCCCCCTCCGTGCGGATACTTAAATCAGCACGGAGGGGGCAACTGGGGGGCCGGGGGAGGTTTGTGCACACGTGGGCCAATCCCCACGTGTGCACAAAAATAAAAAAAGTTAAAAAAAAATTCGGGGGGATGTTTAAATCCCCCCGAAAGTGCAAGAGCGTCTCCTGCGCGTGCGCAGGAGACGCTCTGCTAACGCTGTTGTCGGGGAGGGGGGGAGGCGGC